AGAGAGGAACTTCCTTTACTAAGAGAAATTAAAATACCGCGTCATATAAATGTCGATAGAAATAGCAGCATAACGGTTGTTGGATTTGCAGACGCCAGCGAGAAGGCTTACGGGGGGCGTTGTATATTTCCATGTCCAGAATAATGGTAGAAATTCGATTAGCCTCATTAGTTCTAAGTCGAGAGTCTCCCCCCGTAAGGTTGTCTCTCTGGCGCGTTTAGAGCTTTGCGCAATATTAGTACTCACCAAGCTTATTACCACAGTTATCGGCGCATGTAGGGATAGAGTTCACATAGAAAGAATATTTGCCTTTTCCGACTCCACCGTCGCCTTATGTTGGGTTCATTCTTCACCCCACCGTTGGGATACGTTTGTCGCGAACCGAGTGGCCAAGATCCAAGACGAGTTAGAAACGCGGAACTTTTATCACGTGTCCGGTAAGGAAAACCCTGCCGATTGTCTATCCCGGGGACTCACCCCGATGCAAATAATGGACCACCCGCTTTGGTTCCATGGACCTTCTTGGGTTCACTTGGATCCCTCACAATGGCCAATAACCGATTTCGAACCTTCGTCAGTGTCACAACCGCCGGAAGAGAAGAGACACGCTCTAGTGGCGAACGTTTCGAGCGAGGTTTCTCCAATCATTGCTCTGGCGAACCGCTTGTCCTCTTGGTCGAAATTATTGCGTAGCGTAATTTACGTTTGTCGATTCGCGAAGCTTTTACCGCGACGTCCGTATGTCTTAGCATCCGATTACAACTATGCCGAGTCGCTAGTATTACGTGAACTTCAACGTGCGCACTTCTCTGAAGAAATTACAAGATTACAATCGAATAGAGCTTGTAGTCGCGCCTTTCAACGCCTTAAGCCATTTTTACAGGATGGGATTGTAAGGGTAGGTGGACGCTTGTCCAACTCGCAATTGAGTTTCGACCAACGGCACCCTATAGTTTTACCGCGTAAAGACCATATCATGAACTTATTAGTCGATTATCATCATAAATTGAACTCGCACGCTGGCCCCGATTTATTGATGTCGATCTTGCGTCAGAATTATTGGATTCTTTCTGCACGTAGTTTAATACGCAATCGGGTGCACAGATGTATAGCTTGCTTTCGGGCACGCCCCAAGCCGTCATTTCCGGAAATGGCGGAACTTAGATCTTGTAGAGTGATACAATCGGTAAAGCCCTTCACGCACACCGGGTCTGATTTTGCTGGTCCGCTTAAGGTCACGCTCACTCGCGGGCGTGGTATAAGATCCACAAAGGCTTACGTCTGCATTTTCGTATGTCTAACTACTCGAGCAGTGCATATAGAACTCGTTGGTGATCTAAGCACAGCAGGCTTTATGGGTGCATTTAAAAGATTTCTATCGCGCAGAGGCCCTGTAAGTAAATTATATTCGGATAACGGTACGAACTACGTCGGTGCAAAACGTATTCTATCGGAACTACACGAGCTCTTAGCTAGCAAGTATTATAATTCGGAGTTCGCTCACATTCTAGCCGAGAACCGCATAGAGTGGTCTCTGAACGTCCCAGCCGCGAGTCATTTTGGGGGCAATTGGGAGACTAATATTAAAAGTCTAAAGAGCCACTTATACCGAGTAATAGGAGATCAAATTTTGTCCTTCGAAGAGCTAAGTACGGTGCTCGCTCAAATTGAATGCGTAATGAATAGCCGCCCACTTTGTCGGACGTTATCTAGTGACCCCTCGGAACCGCTGGCTCTAACTCCAGCACATTTTTTGACTTTAACGCCTCTAAGGTATCTGCCCGCCGCGGATATGGATGAGAACAGACTTAGCATTTCCACACGCCACAAATTATTAGATCGGTTAGTGCAATCGTTTTGGAAACGATGGAGGATGGAATACTTGCATACTTTGCAGTCTCGGCAAAAATGGAACACAGCGACAGAGCCTTTAGCTGTAGGAACCGTAGTTGTGCTCACTAAGGAGAATACGCCGCCTCTCCACTGGCCGTTAGGAATCGTCGAGGAGGTCTTTCCCGGTTCCGACGGAGTAATTAGGATAGCTCGCGTTAAGACCACGGTTGGGTCTTACCTACGTCCTGTTATCCGTTTGTGCCCCTTGCCTCTTCCATAATTTAAATTAGCTTTCTAGACTGAAATTGTAGTTTAATTTAGGTAATCTTAGCGTTAGTTAGTTATTTGTTAGTCGATCTTAGCTCTAGTTGTTTAGTTATTTTTTTTTGAAGGAAATCCTTCAAGGGCGGGGGGAGATGGTTGCGCGGAAAACCATTCGCGTTTTTTATTTGACGGTAGGAACTTGTAGAATCATTATTCCTTTCCAAACAATATCATTCGTACCCTCCTATCGACACATCGGGGTGGTGGGGTGGGAGGGGAAAGAAGACGATTCTAGAACATCGCGTAATCACCCGAGCCGAGGATATATAAGACACGCGCGACCGATGCGCGAGCCTCTTCTCCCGCCGCAGTCGTCGTTGAACCAACGCTTCTCTCCTGACGCACCACTGGGGCCCCAGAGTGTCTGTCCAGAGGAGGTTCCGGAAGTCGCCGCTATAGTGATCGACAGGAAGAAGAAACCCCGGTGAGTCAATATTCCTTAATTATACCTGCTTGCTAATAGTTTAACCCGCTCCAATCTGTGTTTTTTTTCCTAATCAAGCAGGATTCCTTTCATCGATTCGACAAGTAATAGTTTAGTTTAGGGAAGAGCGAGTGCATTGTACCGCATGCTATAGTAGTCGCTTTTACGTAAGCGTAGAAGCAGTCGCATATACAGTCCACTTTAGTTAATATCTCGCGTAATAGGTTTGAGGTTTGACCGGGGAACTAGATTTTCGGCAGCCTTAAACACGTGGCTCCACCAGCATTTAAGACGCCAATGCTTGCTACTTAAACATTTGAAACACAGACTGTGTTTAAAATCTCTCTTCCTTCACCCATTCCCACCGACTATCACTGTTCATCTGCGTCAACTTTTTACACTTCACTATCACATGTTCACCACCACAACACAGACACTTTTCATAACTTTCACTGTCACAATCTTCACGTGCGGTAAACGTTTTTACGTCGCGGGCCTATCTTCTGCGCGGCGTGTGACTACGACTTTTCTCGACGGCGGCGTTTCTTTTCTTACGGGCACTTCCCAAACTGGCGTGACGGACATGTAAGCGTGTCTTATAGCTCGGCCAGCTTCCCTCATCATGAACCTGGACAGTGTGACGATGTCCGTTTCCTTAGCTCTACCGTAGTGCTCCGCGTGGTCGAACAGGAAATGTGTGAATTAAAACGAAATAAACAATGCAGGGAAATAATAATAAACAATTTTAAGGGTGGGATACTTATAGTCAACAGTCAAAATATGAACATAAAAATTTCAACACCGCGTAATCAGTAAACAAAAATCAAAACAACAGTGATGTACAACTTAAACAGATTTATTGTAAAAAGATCTTACTGTATAATGTTTGTTATCCAGCAGATGTAGTGAAGGTTTAATTACAGCCATTTGTGTTCAAAATGTAGGGTTGGATTTAGAATCGTTTGGCAGGAATTTGGGGGAGTAAGGTGTTTTATTTGGTAGCGGTTTGTTCCCCGATTATTATTATACTACTCACATTAAAAGGTAATGCAACGTTATCGAAAAAATAAATAAAAACTATTATAACCTAAAATGCGTAAAGTATGAAAAATGATCCAACCATCTACGAGTCGCGGTTTTGACAGTGACGAAGCGCCAGTGAAACGCCATTTATATGTCAAGGACATGAAATCAATGTGGAATTTAGTTACTGTATACCGAAAACTTGGCACACGGGAACAAGCTATTGCTTTTGCTGAGGCAAAAGGCATGATCCCAGCAACAAAAATATGTAGCTACCATAAAAAGAGTATGTGTGTAGAATACTCCACCAATAGAACGGTGGGCTCATTTGTCTGCGGCCGAGGCCCATTCAGATCTAAATCAAAAGTTAGGCGTGGCAAAGGCACTTGGTTCGAGAATATTAAATTAACAATGCCTCAAGTATTTTACTTAAATGTATGCATATGAAAATTAGTGGAGTTACGACATGACTTTAAAAGAAGATTATTTTGAAAGGGAAAATTGTTTATCTAGAGCAACTGTTAATGATTGGTTCAATTACTGTCGGGAGGCTGTAGTCATCTATGAAATAGAGAAACAAAGTTTCCTGGGAAAAATTGGGGGTCCAGGAAAAATTGTCCAAATAGATGAGAGTAAATTTGGAAAAAGGAAATATAACAAAGGTGAGTTATGGCTAAATGCATGCATATAGTTAACGACCTGGAGATGAAATAGGCTAATTTTTATCAATAAAATTTGAAATTAATACTTAATCTTGTTTTAGGTCGGCACATTGAAGGTCATTGGGTGCTGGGAATGATTGAAAATGATAGTGAAGATTTAAGATTAGAAGTTTGCCCCCAAAATGTGCGATCTTCTAAAGTTTTGATGCCCTTGATTAAAAAACATGTGGCTGAAGGCACTATCATTCATACTGAATTTTGGCGGGCTTATGATGGATTAGAAAATTATGGGTACATACACAAAAAAGTAAATCATAGTGACCCTGAAAACCCTTTTGTGGCAGCAGACGGCACATACACTCAAAGAATTGAGTCTCAATGGCGTATCGTCAAAAGATATTTCGGCAAAGATAACTATAATTATAGAGAAAATTTTACCGATTTAATATATGAATATTTATGGAGAAGAGAAATTGTAAAAAATAAAAGAGATCCTTTTGAGGAATTAATAATAATAATATGGCGTAGGGAAGTGACGACCCCATCGCCCGCTGACGTGACGGTTATGTGACAAAACCGCTACGTCCGCGCAGTCAGTCAGCACCTTGCCAAGAGGTGTGAGCGCCGTGCCTCGGCAAAAATTGATGGTGCAAGGGCCCGCTTGTGCATATGGCCTCACCATGAAACGGCGCCGGGTCTGGGCGTCTCCCGTTAAATGACGCCCTGTATGGATGATGGAACACAGAAGATTGCGCAAAGGGCCGCTGCCTGGAGGTCGTCAGGGCGCGTCTGGAGCTGGCGCTGGACGCGACAGCATGCGAACCGCCAGCCGAGCGCGAGGTGCTGCACGACCACCCAGCAGCCCCTTGCATCCATCGTCCCCACCAGCTTGCTTGGTGTCGGCAGGGTCTTCGCAGACCCAGCAATCGGCACCCGCCACTGGTGGAGTACGCCGCATGCGATGGACCATCAATATGAATACAAACGCATTGCGGGCGTATTTTAGGGCGAAAGGGGGAGAAATTGGAAGTTTCGCGTATCGGGCTAGGATGCATCGTCTTTTTACTGAGCTGGAGCCATCTATTACTGTCACCGAGCAAAACCTGGCAGACCGAGTTCGGTATATCTTACGCTCAAATATATTTGATGGCGCCGAACTCGAACGGCTACGACGTGAGGCTGTTCCCTCATCAAATGAAAACGCTACGACTGGGGGTGCGGTGCCACAAGTTGCAGAACAACCCGCACACGTGGATGCCGCCGAGAATACCCCAGTGGTTGCTGATTCAAATGATGATGGAACATTCACCCAGGAACTAGAAGTAGAGCAAATGAGGAGTACATTGGAAGAGGCGATTATGGAAACGCGCAGTACGCCTCTCGAAAATCGACCGCGACTTCCCCGCATAGCCCTAAGCAAGCGGAATCGGGCTGTCCTGAGGGCTCTGAACCCAATACTGGTGACCTATTTGGAAGCCAGCCGGGACCTTTGCGAGACGGACTCAATTCTCTTTGGCGCCGCACTGGCAGTCTGCCGTATTATAGGCGCCAAACTTTCCACGGCTGGACGCACTACTGGACAAAGTAGTGCTATCCCAGCCTGGAGAACAAGAATTGAAGAACGTATCGCAAAGGCTAGGGCCCTCATCGGCAGACTGATATGCTTCAGGTCAGGCAATACCAGGCCAAGGATTGTGCGCACCGTCAGGATGGCGTTTGCTGGGACAAATGTTAGTTTGTCCCAGCCGGATATAATGCAAAAACTGACGGAGCGCATAGACGACCTGAAGCAGAGAATCGCTGCTTGGGGAAAGCGAATTCGGCGATATACCGAGAGGTCGACACGGTTCAACCAGAATCGTCTCTTCCAAAGTGATCAGAAGAGGCTCTATAAATCATTGGAGCGACCAATGGTAAGTGGAACGGGCCCAGTACCGAATCAGGCCGACACGGTCGCATTCTGGCGCAGCCTGTGGTCAGAGCCCGTAAACCACAACGAGGGCCCTTGGATGGAAGTTGTGGCGAGTCAGTGTGCGGGTATTACGCCCATGGACCCCGTCACCATAACGCCGGATGACGTAGCTGAGGCGGTCCGTAGGGCCCCGAACTGGAAAAGTCCGGGACCGGACGGGCTGCATCATTACTGGCTGAAGTGGTTCGTGGTGTGTCACACTGTGCTCGCCCGACAGTTTCAAGAGGTTCTCAACCAGAAGTCGCTCCCGAGCCTCTTCACTACTGGGATCACCCATTTGGTTCCTAAAGGCCAGGGTACCACAGACCCGAGAAAATACCGCCCCATCACATGTCTACCTACCATATACAAGACACTAACATCCATTTTGAGTGCGAGAATCACTCGTCACCTGGACTCAAATCAGGTGATGTCGCGGGCTCAAAATGGATGTCGGGGCGGCGGTCGTGGAACCAAGGAACCACTCCTCATTGACGCGGTCATTGGCAAAGTGGTGAAACGCAACCGTCGGAACTTCTCCGCCGCCTGGATAGACTACAGAAAGGCATTCGACTCGGTGCCCCATACATGGCTAAAGAGAGTCCTCGAACTGTACAAGATAGACTGTACAGTTAGAGACTTCCTCGAGCAGTGTATGGGGCAGTGGAGTACGATCCTTTGTCATCTGGGTGAGCGGATGATGGCTGCGGAGAACCACATAAGGATAAGAAGGGGTATCTTCCAGGGCGATTGTCTGAGTCCAATATGGTTCTGCCTCTCTCTGAACCCTCTCAGTACCTTACTGGAGGGCTCCGGGAGGGGATTTCAGCTACGGAAAGGAGGGACAAAAGTGACCCACCTTTTCTATATGGATGACCTCAAGTTATTCGCCTCCAGTCGCTCCCATCTTATGGAATTGCTAAACATCACTTGTGAATTTAGCAATTCCATTGGAATGGAGCTGGGGACGGATAAGTGTGCGGTACTCCATGTTGAGAGGGGAAGGGTTGCTAACTCTGAGGGCATAGACTTATCTATGCCCGTCAACTTAAGGACCCTTTCCGAGGCCGAAACGTACCGATACCTGGGTATGTAACAGAACATCGGTATCGATGAGGCTGGTATGAAACAGTCAGTTTGCGACGTGTTTTATGCACGCTTGACCAAAGTGCTTAACAGCCTTTTGTCCGGTGTGAATAAGACACAAGCATATAACGGCTGGGTCATGCCTGTCCTCATGTATACCTTTGGCATACTCAGGTGGACTCAGACTGAACTTAACGCCCTGGATAGAAAAGTCCGCACTACCATGACGTCCCACAGGATGCATCATCCGAGATCGTCGGTAATGAGGCTGTACTTGCCGCGAAAGCATGGTGGGCGTGGCCTCTTGAGCGCGCTCACCATGCATAATCGCGAAGTGTGCAGCCTCCGTAATTACTTCCTGGCGAGATCGGATGATCCATTCTATAAGGACGTCATTTCTTGTGATAAAGGACTTACCCCTATATCCTTAGCCAACGAGCAATGGCAAGACCCGGCAGTGCAGACAATTTCCGACCGGGAGACCGTATGGAAGGAGAAGGAGCTCCACGGGAGGTTCTACAAGTCTCTACATGGGCCTTTCGTAGACACAGTAGCCTCCCTCCACTGGCTACGCTTTGGTGACCTCTTTGGGGAAACCGAGGGTTTTGTCTGTGCAATACAGGATCAGGTTATTAAGACCAACAACTATCGGAGATACATCCTAAAGGATGGCACCATCGACATCTGTCGAGCTTGTCGCCATCCCGGTGAGTCACTTAGGCATGTCATCTCCGGTTGTTCGGCGCTTTCTAACTCTGAGTACTTGCACAGGCACAACCTAGTAGCCAGAATTCTACACCAGGAGCTCGCTCTGAAATACGGTCTCGTGGATCGGAAATTGCCGTATTACAAGTACTTGCCGGAAGCCGTGCTCGAAAATGATCGCGCCAGGCTCTATTGGGACCGGGCCATCATCACAGACAGGACTATTCTTGCGAATAAGCCTGATATTGTGCTGATGGACCGTGCACAGTCAAGGATATTTTTGGTCGACATTACCATTCCGTGTGACGAGAACCTCGTGAAAGCCGAAACAGATAAGCAAACAAAATATCTGGACCTGGCTCACGAGGTGACCGACATGTGGGGTGGTCTGCCGACCGAAATTATTCCTGTAGTCGTCTCTGCAAACGGGCTAATCCCAGTCAGCCTCTCGGGTCATCTGAGGCGGCTGGGACTACGTGGCGGACCGCTCCAGGTTCAAATGCAGAAGGCGGTGCTCCTTGATACCGCCCGCATCGTCCGCCGGTTTCTTTCCCCTTTCCCCCCTAACCTTCGGCCGTTTGGTCTCCCCTGCCGAGGGCTTCCATCTGGTTGGGCTTTTATTTATTTATGTATTTTTTTTTATTTATTTTTTTTTATTGATATTTATGTATATTTATCTTTTCATTTTCGTTTATAATTATATATTTATACATCCCAACCAGATGAGAAAACTATATAGATACCCCACATAATAATAAGGCGTAGGGAAGTGACGACCCCATCGCCCGCTGACGTAACAGTTATGTGACAAAACTGCGACGTCGGCGCAGTCAGTCAGCATCCTGCCAAGAGGTGTGAGCGCCGTGCCTAGGCAAAATTGTAGATGAAAAGGTCCGTTTGTGCATATGACCCAACCACGAAACGGTGCCGGGCTTGGGCGTCTCCCGTTATTTGGCGCCCATAAAATGGATGATGGCACAGAAAGGAACGCGCATAGGACCGCTGCCTGGGGGTCGCCGGGGCGCGTCTGGAGCTGGCGCTGGACGCGGCAGCATGCGGGCCGCCAGCCGAGCGCGAGGAGCTGCACGATCACCTAGCAGCCCCTCGCATCCATCATCCCCACCAGAAGGCTTGGTGTCGGCTGGGTCTTCTCGGACCCAGCAAGCGGCACCCGGATGCCGCTGGTGGAGTACGTCGCATGCGTTGGACAAAGATCCATGAACGAAAACGCATTGCGGGCGTACTATAGGGCGAAAGGGGAAGAAACTGTGGGAATAGCGTATAGGTCTCGGATGCATTGCTTTTTTGCTGAGCTGGAGCCGTCTATCCCCGTCACGGAACAAAACCTGGCAGACCGAGTTCGGTACATCATGCGCTCGAAAATATTTGATGATGCCGAGCTCGAACGACTACGACGTGAGGCTATTCCGTCGTCGAATGAATCAGCTATGGCTGGGGATGCGGCTCCACATTCGACAGACCAGCATCCACGCGTGGAAGCCGCCATGGATCTTCCAGTTGTGGTTGATTCGAACGACGATGAAATAGTCTCCCACGAACTGGAACAAATGAGGAGTATATTGGAAGAGGCGATTTTGGAAACGCGCACCACCCCTCTCGAAAATCGACCGTGACTTCCCCGCATACCCCTAAGCAAGCGAAATCGGGCTGTCGTGAGGGCTCTTAACCCAATGCTGGTGACCTATTTGGAAGCCAGCCGGGACCTTTGCGAGACGGACTCGATTCTCTTTGGCGCCGCAGTGGCAGTTTGCCGTATTATTGGCGCCAAACTTCCCATGGCTGGACGCGCTACTACACAAAGTAGCGCCATCCCAGCCTGGAGAAAAAGAATCGAGGACCGTATCGCAAAGGCAAGGGCCCTTATCGGCAGACTGACAAGCTTCAGGTCGGGTAATAATAGACCGAGGGTTGTGCGCACCGTTAGAATGGCGTTTGCTGGGACAAATATCAGTTTGTCCCAGCCGGATATCGCGCAGAAACTAACGGAGCGCATAGACGACCTGAAGCAAAAGATCGCTGCATGGGGGAAGCGGATTCGACGATTTTCCGAGGGGTCAAGGCGGTTCAACCAGAATCGTCTCTTCCAGAGTGATCAGAAGAGGCTCTATAAATCATTGGAGCGACCAGAGGTATGTGGAGCGGGCCAAGGACCGGATCAGGCTGACATTGTCGCATTCTGGCGTGGCCTGTGGTCAGAGCCCGTAAACCACAGCGAGGGCCCTTGGATGGAAGTTGTGGCGAGCCAGAGTGCGAGTGTTACGCCTATGGACCCCGTCACCATAACGCCGGAAGACGTGGCTGAGGCGGTCCGTAGGGCCCCGAACTGGAAAAGTCCGGGGCTCGACGGGCTGCATCATTACTGGCTGAAGGGGTTCATAGTGTGTCACGCTGTGCTCGCCCGACAGTTTCAAGAGGCTCTCGACCAGAAGTCGCTCCGAAGCCTCTTCACTACTGGGATCACTCATTTGGTTCCTAAAGACCAGGATACCACAGACCCGAGCAAATACCGCCCCATTACGTGTCTACCCACCATATATAAGACACTGACATCCATTTTGAGCGCGAGAATCACTCGTCACCTGGAGCTAAACCAGGTGATGTCACGCGCTCAAAATGGATGTCGGGGCGGTGTTCGTGGAACTAAGGAACCACTCCTCATTGACGCGGTCATAGGCAAAGTGGTGAAACGCAACCGTCGGAACTTCTCCGCCGCCTGGATAGACTACAGAAAGGCGTTCGACTCGGTGCCCCATACATGGCTAAAGAGAGTCCTCGAGCTGTACAAGATTGACTGTACAGTTAGAGACTTCCTCGAGCAGTGTATGGGGCAGTGGAGTACGATCCTTTGTCATCTGGGTGAGCGGATGATGGCTGCGGAGAACCACATAAGGATAAGAAGGGGTATCTTCCAGGGCGATTGTCTGAGTCCAATCTGGTTCTGCCTCTCTCTGAACCCTCTCAGTACCTTACTGGAGGGCTCCGGGAGGGGATTTCAGCTACGGAAAGGAGGGACAAAAGTGACCCACCTTTTCTATATGGATGACCTCAAGGTATTCGCCTCCAGTCGCTCCCATCTTATGGAATTGCTAAACATCACTTGTGAATTTAGCAGTTCCATTGGAATGGAGCTGGGGACGGATAAGTGTGCGGTCCTCCATGTTGAAAGGGGAAGGGTTGCTAACTCTGAGGGCATAGACTTGTCTATGCCCGTCAACTTAAGGACCCTTTCCGAGGCTGAAACATACCGATACCTGGGTATGTCACAGAACATCGGTATCGATGAGGCTGGTATGAAACAGTCAGTTTGCGACGTGTTTTATGCACGCTGGACCAAAGTGCTTAACATCCTTTTGTCCGGTGTGAATAAGACACACGCATATAACTGCTGGGTCATGCCTGTCCTTATGTATACCTTTGGCATACTCAGGTGGAGTCAGACTGAGCTTAACGCCCTGGATAGAAAAGTCCGCACTACCATGACGTCCCATAGGATGCATCATCCGAGATAGTCGGTAATGAGGCTGTACTTGCCGCGAAAGTATGGTGGGCGTGGCTTTCTGAGCGCGCTCACTATGCATAATCGCGAAGTGTGCAGCCTCCGTCATTACTTCTTGGCGAGATCGGATGATCCATTCTATAATGACGTCATTTCTAGTGATAAAGGGCTTACCCCTCTATCCTTAGCCAACGAGCAATGGCAGGACCCAGCAGTGCTTAGCATTTCCGACCGGGAGACCGTATGGAAGGAGAAGGAGCTCCACGGGAGGTACTACAGGGCTCTACATGAGCCCTTCGTAGATACAGTCGCCTCCCTCAACTGGCTACGTTTCGGTGACCTCTTCGGGGAAACCGAGGGTTTTGTCTGTGCAATACAGGATCAGGTTATTAAGACCAACAACTATCGGAGATACATCCTAAAGGATGGCACCGTCGACGTCTGTCGAGCTTGTCGCTATCCCGGGGAGTCACTTAGGCATGTCATCTCCGGTTGTTCGGCGCTTTCTAACTCTGAGTACTTGCACAGGCACAACCTAGTAGCCAGAATTCTACACCAGGAGCTCGCTCTGAAATACGGTCTCGTGGACCGGAAATTGCCGTATTACAAGTACTTGCCGGAAGCCGTGCTCGAAAATGACCGCGCCTGGCTCTACTGGGACCGGGCCATCATCACAGACAAGACTATTCTTGCGAATAAGCCTGATATTGTGCTGATGGACCGGGCACAGTCAAGGATATTTTTGGTCGATATTACCATCCCGTATGACGAGAACCTCGTGAGAGCCGAAACAGATAAGCAATCAAAATATCTGGACCTGGCTCACGAGGTGACCGACATGTGGGGTGGTCTGCCGGCCGAAATTATTCCTGTAGTCGTCTCTGCGAATGGGCTAATCCCAGTCAGCCTCTCTGGTCATCTGAGGCGACTGGGACTCCGTGACGGACCGCTCCGGGCTCAAATGCAGAAGGTGGTGCTCCTTGATACTGCCCGCATCGTCCGCCGGTTTCTTTCCCTTGCCCCCTAACCCTTGGCTGTTTGGTCTCCCCTGCCGAGGGCTTCCATCTGGTTGGGCTTTTATTTATTTATGTATTTTTGTATTTATTTTATTTTATTGATATTTATGTATATTTATCTTTTCATTTTCATTTATAATTATATATTTATACATCCCAACCAGATGTGAAAACTATATAGATACCCTACATATAATAATAAATTATATTTATAAACAATAAAGAAATGATTATAATATACTGTGTTTTATTTCTAAATTGCTTAAAACTGTCTGGGCAGTTAATTAATTTAATACTTAAACATCCAATAATACTTTCAGTTGTAATAGGTTAGATGGATGTGGCGGGAGCAAAGGCAACCTAACTTTAGAGATATCTGATCTGTACTAAAATTAAATCAGCACGCTCTGAATCTACGTAGTCTTGTCTGCCCTACCCCTAGTGTTTTTGTAAAGCCGTAGGCATGGAAGGAGAGCAGCCCCCGCACGTCGTAGCAATCGCAGACACCTGTGCGAGCCGTAGTGCGCTTATTATTATATTATATATTATGTTTATAATTAAAAGTAATTATAAAAGCTAACATTTTGGTGTTTTCTCTACCTCTACCAAATAAAATACCTTACTCCCCCAAATTCCTGCCAAACGATTCTAAATTTCAACCAAAATTTATAAAGCAGTGATCTTTAAAATGTCTGGAACAAATACGATGGTGCTTTTTCCGCTGCCAATCGCGACGTGCAATAGCGTCGATCCATTTTTGTCTTAAATTGATTTCCGTAGGGAAGCTGTAATTTAATCGTAAAACTATCGATAATTTATACTAGAGATATATTTTTCCAACACTATTACCAAAATATTAACTCAAATTTTTAAACAACAAATATTCAATTTTATTACTTTAAAATATGCAAAAAACTTAATTTATTAAAAGATTATTCGATTTTAAAGTAAGAATAACAAAAAACGTGAATTTCTATCATTTGAAAATGTGTTTCTGTATGTTCAAACGTTGACACAATGAGTTACCGGTGAAAGCTAATGTTTTCGGGGTCGTTTTCTTTCCTAGAGGAATGGGATTTACATCCCACTATAATGCAGTACATTGTTCTTTTTATTAATATTTCGATTCACAATTTCCCACTGCAAAAAAACACAATTTCCAAGCGAAAACTCAATTTTAACACAGTCAGACAACCTGAAGACAACCCAGCGTATTATACAAACAATTTAAAGTGACATTAGCCATAGATAAAAAACTTTTTTAAATCTTTCTTTTTAAATTAGTAGCACAAAGGTAACTAATGTATACAAACTGACGTTTGCCGAATGTACATTGGTACTTTGACTAGAGAAAAAAGAAAGGACATGACATACCTACGAAAAAAACGTGTATACCTAAACTGAGTCTGGCACAAAGATGGCACCTTGACGTAGTGACTTAATATCGATAATGTGGCGTTTATTTAAAAAAAGATTCTTTCGTGTGATTGTTCTCAAATACCCGTGTGTTCTTAGATAGTTTTTTTTTTTATGACGATCAATATGACGACTCGATCAATATGACGGATTTTTGTCGCCAAATTGTAAGTCCTTAATTTTTTCTTTTATTCAAGCTATCGATAGGGGTATCCAAATAAAATAAATTAAAAGGCGATTACTGAAGTATATATGAGTTATACCTACGTTTTCAGTTCATTACTTTTAAGCAGTCGTTTTTTTTTTTGTTTTTATAATGTAATTATCTATTATTAATGTTACAATTATTTTCCGGCAATTACTAAACAAGAAATACTAATTAAAGAATTTTTTGTTTGTTTGTTAGACAATAAATTAGACTCAGTCATAATACTCACACTAATTAAATTATAATAAATGCAAATGTTTGAATGTTTGTTTATTCCTCGCCAAAAGTATCAGACCAGTATGAATATATTAATTTGACACGCAAATAGTTTGTTACCTGAATTAACGTATAGGATACTTTTTATTCCGATTTAGAGATCCCGAGGAATATATTAAGAAATTTCGTAATAATTTAATTCCACGAGAGAAACATATAAAAATAACACACTCCCTCACTAAAGTCGCAATGACTCCTGAT